ACTTATAATATAATCTGACTCATTTAAGCATTATTATTCAATGAATCAATAAAAGTACTGTACATTTTAATGATAACAGACTAGACTAAATTAAATAAATGATGCTTGAATGTTAAAACTTGAAAATGATATAATAATTTATAAGTAATAAATCATTTATTTCTTTTAAATGATATATTATATCACATTTTGAATTATAATAACTTAGATTGTTGTACTACTTAAACGACATATTAGATAAACAAATAAACAAACAATCGTATAGTACAATTTAATAATGGTAATAATTTATAAATAATACTATTAAAATAATAGTATCATTTATTTATAAATAAATAATATTATAGTACAAATAAAATATAAATAAATAATAGTATAATACAGTTTAGTGATAGCATGAGATGAGATGACATCAAAATGAATAAATCTGAAAATGTTAATATATAATAATCATCATCATCATCATATAATGTGATTTATAATCGATACTGTCTATAATGCTGTCTAGGTAGGACTGTAACACACTTCTTCATTTTTGAAGGACATTTTTAACTCTCTTATTCTTTTTTGTACATCGTTTCTCAAAAGGGTGCACTTCTTTTCTTCTGCTGGCTCTATTCTCCGTCCTATTCTTTTCTATAGAGGGAATATTTCTCTCCTCTCGGCCTTGACTTTTTGTTTGTCGATATGTCTCTCACTCTCTCTCTCTCTTTGGCCCGTCTCCTCAGGACAAACTGCACTTGTGGCCCTCCACTCCTCAATGTTCCACTCAATGGGCACAAAGGCCTCCTGGGGGAGCCTGGTCGTAAAGCCATCACACGAGCCCTAAATCTGCCCTGCCGCCCAGTGTGGCAGGCCCTCCCTGCTGCCAATCAGAGCAGAAGACCAGCACAAAACCCTTATCGCAGCAAAAACCAAAACCCTCGAGACCTTCAAGTGAGTCTGGAAAGAGTCGTAAGCGCCATCAACAAGCCAAAAAGTACTAGAGTTAAAAGACAGGTCTAAGTACACTGCGCTCGGACTTAAACTAAAATTTCTACAATAGAAATCATGAATAGAGAAGCTATACATCAACTCATTAGACTGGAGAAAACAACCTAGCCTGAATTAAATCTCAAGCACAGAGCCATTGTATTTGACAGTGCATTTTGCGCTTGACTGAACCATAAACTCCATGTAAGCACACATGGGACAAAAATCAAGCCTAGACACACAGACAAACAAAAGCAGAGACGCGTATCCTACACAACTGTCCCAGCAGCACTGTAAATCTAGTAAAGTTCAGCAGTTTACCTTACTATATGAGGTACAGTAACACCAACAAAACTACTTTTGAAGAGGTCATATCATAAGAAATCTAATTCAAATTTTCTCTTTTAATTTATATAGATTTAAAGCGATTATATACTTGTATAAATACAGCATATATTCATCATACATAACTTTAAGTTTGTACTAAGTTTGGGGTCAGTAATGTGTGTTTTTTTGTTTTTATTAAGACTCTATTCAGCAAGGGTGCATTAAATTGATCAAAAATTACAGTAAATACATTTATAATGTTTGCTATTCCAAAGAAATGCTATTCTTTTGAACTTTCTGTTCATTAAATAATTAACAAAAATGATAAGCTGCACAACTGTTTTGAAAATAAAAATCAGCATGTTTAAATGATTTCTGGAGGATCATGTGACACTGAAGACTGGAGTAAAGCTTTGCATCACAGGAATAAATTACATTTAAAAAAATATTCTCATATATTGTTATTATATAATTTAACAGATTATAAAATTTAATAATATTTCACAAAATTATTTATTTTAATTTTATTTTTGATTCAATATATGCAGCTTATATACAAATAATAATAATAATAAACAACAACAAATCTGTCATGGTGCCTTATATCAGATATTAGATACTGTGTCAAATACTGTGTCTTCCAAAGGCAACAGATCCACTCTTTTTACAGCGCTGCTATAAATTACTGCACATAATATAGCTGACATACTATTATACATTTGCCGCCGTTAATATAGCCATTAATGGACTGAAAGCAAACTCAGCATGAGGGCTGAAAACCCAAAGCACCATTGACACATTGAGAATTACATTCTCAGCAATACAAGATTATATACTGTATATATATATATATATATATATATATATATATATATATATACACACAAATTACAATAAAACAACTCTAGAAACATCCACAAATAACTACAAAATAATACATTGTACTAAATATATATACAAACACATGCAGCAATTGATATTCTGTGACAGAACAAAAGTATTTGGAGTGGCTGTCAAACATTAGTGGATCATGTTCACAGAGACCAAGCCGAATACTTTTGGAGCTCTTAAATTAAGTATCACCAGTCTTAAATGTAACATCGGGTGTCTACAAGAACTAATAACCAGCAATACACAAAACCAGACATCTGAACAAAATTAACCTCCAGTACTAGAGCATATTTTTAAAAAAGAGAAAAAAGAAGTGCAGATCAGGTCTCATACCTTCCAGCAGGTCTCGTGCCAGACCCGGTTCTGCCCCTGTGGACCGAACAAAGTCTGACAGGACCGCATCCATGTCCAGAGTCATGGGATCATGTGGCTGCGCTGCCTGCCCTGCAGCTTCACACTCTCATCTACACAAAATAAATCACAGGAATGATCATGTAAATCAATGTAGGACATCAAATAAAGGACAATACAACAACAAAAAAAGAGACTGAGCGCAAAATGCAGCATTATCAGTTCATCAAGCTATTATGTACAGTTTGATCACATTCAGATTAATCAGAGATGAATGCAGCCTGAGGAATGAGTGATATGACTGAGGAGTGACTGCATTGAAAAAAAAAATTGGTGTAGGATTTACTTTGAAACAATTTTCACTCAGAAAATGGAAGTAAACTGCACAAATAATTACAACGAAACAGCAACCCACCTAACAAACATATGTTCTAAGAACATTTTGCTAACATTCCCATTAAAATATGAAAACATTATTTCTAAATGTTTTGTTAACTTTCAAAATGTCCAGTTTTTAAAATGTTTTTAAAACATTTTTTTTCTTGGTTATATGAACATTCCATTTTATAATTGTGAAAACATTATGGAAATGTCATTTTTAATGTTCCCTGCATGTTCTCAAACAAGTACACTGTAAAAAAGTAACTACATATTTTCCAGTTTACAAAACATTTTGAGTCTCAAATATACACTCTAAAAAATGCTGGGTTAAATATAACCCAGCGCTGGGTTAAAAAGGGACAAACCCAGCTATTGGGTTGTTTTGTCAAAACAACCCAACCGCTGGGTCAAAACAACCCAATAGATGGGGTTGTCCCTTTTTAACCCAGCGCTGGGTTATATTTAACCCAGCATTTTTTTAGTGTAAGAAATGCAGTTTCCTGAAATTACATAAAAACCTGTCAGACTAACAGAATTCATTAGCCGAAATGTTCCATGAACGTTCCATGCTAACATTTTGAGAAACACTAGATAACTTTGAAAAAACATTCTATTAACGTTACGTTTGTTCATAACTTTAAGAGAACATTGCCACAACGTTACAGTTCTGAGAGCGTTCCCTGTTAGCCTCGGAAGTAACTATAGTAAATATATAAAAACAAAATAAAGACCAAAAATATTTGGAGTGGTTGTCAATCATTAGCGGATCAAGTAACATTGAATAAACATGAAATGTTTAAGTAGAATGAATGAAGTAGTATTTTCTTGCAAAATGTACTGCAATAATCTCTGTTACATTTACTTTGAAAAATCATTTTTTAGAGTGTGTGGATCTCACAACAGCTGACAGTGAGACACCTGGATATGATTACACTGCTAGAAATACTAACAAACTCCCAAAGAGAACAGATAATGCTTGATCTGGCATAATCTGCTTTAATTTGAGAGAAGAAAGAACCAGATATATCATATTGTACTTTACTTAGTAATTAAAGGGACAGTTCACCCAAGAATGAAAAATTCTGTCATCATTTAATCACCCTCATGTTGTTGTTTTTTTCTTCTTCTAATACAATATTTTGAAGAATATTGGTAATCAAACCCCATTTTGGTTTCTGGACCCCACTGACTTCCATAGTGTTTTTTTCTTCTTCTCCATATTATGGAAGTCAATGGCTACCGACAACTCTTTGTTTACCAACATTCTTCAAAATATCTTCATTCTTCGTTTGAACATGAAAGAAGGTATTTTGAAAAATGTTGGTAACCAAACAGTTTT